ATTGGTGGGTATCATCGTGACTATATTGTACTTGCAAATTGAAGAGTAAATTGTCCATTCCCTCTCAATTCACAATTTAAGGAAAGAATAGCAAAAAAAAAAAAAAAAAGACCAGGCATGGTGTACATGTCTGTAATCCCAGCACTTGGGAGACTGAGACAGGAGGATAGAGCCTGGGTTACAGAGACTCTGTCTCAAAAAAAGGGAGGAGGTAGCTGGGTGCCAGTGACTCACACCATAATCCTCAGGAGGCATAGATCAGAAGAATCACATTTTGGCTAAGTCAGATAGTTCAAGAGACCCTATCTTGAAAATACCCAACATAAGCTGGACACCAGTGGCTCATGTCCATAATCCTAGCTATTTAGGAGGCAGAGATCCGGAGGATGGTGGTTCAAAACTAGCCTGGGCAAATAGTTTGTGAGACCCTATCTTGAAAATACTCATCATAAAAAAGGTCTAGTGGAGTGGCTCATAGTGAAGGCCCTGAGTTCAAGGCCCAGTAAGGCAAAAAAAGAAAAAAAAAAAAAGAAAATACCCAACATAAAAAAGGGCTGTCGAGTGGCTCAAGCAGTAGAATGCCAACCTAGCAAGTATGAGGCCCTGAGTTCAAACCCCAGTGCCACAAAAAAAAGAAAAAAGAGAGAGACAGACACACACACACACACAGAGCTATTACTTATGTAGGAAAAGAAGAACAGAAAAGAGATAAAATATAGGTGATTAAGAGAAAACAGAATCAAAGTAATAAGCAGAAGAAAGAAATTAGAATTATAAACTAGGCACCAGTGGCTCACGCCTGTAATCCTACTACTTAGGAGGCAGAGATCAGGAGGATCACGGTTCAAAGCCAGCCCGGGCAAACAGTTCTCAAGACCCTATATAAAAAAAAAAAAAATCACAAAAAGGGCTGGTGAAGTGGCTCAAATTGAAGGCCCTAAGTTCAAGCCCCAGCACCAAAAAAAAAAAAAAAAAAGAAAAGAAAATAGAATTACAGAATAGAGCCACTTCCAAGTTCTTAATATGTAGGGTAATTAAGATGTAGTCAGGATAATTATGGCCTAACAAATAATTTTGGTCATGCAAGAGGCATGAAAATAAATTGTTGGCCAGGCATGATGGCTTATGCCATCCACCTTCAGCTACTTGGAAGGTGAAGATTGAGAGGACTGCAGATCAAAGCCAGCCTGGACAAAAAGTTTGAGAGACCCCATCTCAAACAAAAAACTGGATTCATACCTGTCATCCCAGCCAAGAGGGGGCATAAATAGAAGGGGGCATGGCTTAAATGGTAGAATGCTGAGGCCCTGAGTTTGAAATCCCATACTGCTGAGAGAGAGACAGAGAGACAGAGACAGAGACAGAGAAGGAGACAGAGAGAAAGAAAAGGAAAGGGAGAAAGGAAAGAAAGAAAGAAAGAAAGAAGGAAGGAAGGAAGGAAGAAGGAAGGAAGGAAGGAAGGAAGGAAGGAAGGAAAAGAAAGAAAGAAAAAGAAAGAAAGGAAGGAAGAAAGGAAAAAGAAAGAAAGAAAGAAAGAAAGAAAGAAAGAAAATGTCCATTTAGGTCAAGCCTTGTGCATCTGAGAATGCTATAAGCATATGAGGTACCAGACTCACATGTGGTTGTATTTAATATTCTGAGCTAGGGATGATTGTTTTATAGGTGAGGAAAGTGAAGGGTCAGCACTTTCAAGTAACTTCATAAAGATATCAGCTGATAAGGAATGGAGCCCAGATCTGAGTCCAAGTCTGCCTGCCTTGAAAACTGATGTTTCACTTACACTTTCTAGAAGGAATGTGGCAAAGACTACAAGTAATGTTGGGAGGAAGCATAGTCTCTTTTTGATTCAGATTACCAGGCTGCTTTCCAAAACGGAGTCAAATACCTGGATCTGAATCTCCACTCTGCCACTTAGTAGCTGTGTGGCTCTTAGGCTTTCTGTACTTCATTTTCCTCACATCACAAGGACCAAGAGGGTAGATAGTACACACATGTAAAGCACCTAGAACAGTGGCTGGCATAAGCTTGCTGTTTCTAGGGTGGCGCTGCCATGGCCATGGGACTAATTCTAATGATTATGGCTGCCCAGAGGTCCTTAGCAGTAGCTTTGGACTCATATGGCCATGTCGTGGTGGAATTTCCCCTGGGACAGGACTGACCTGGCTGCCATGTTTTCTCCATCCGGTTTTGAAGAGGAAGGGGAAAGAGGTAAGTGCTGTGATGCTATATTGTCATCAGAGTGAACATGAACAACCCCAGAGACTTGTCCCAAGTAGATTTGCCTTGCTGCCTTGCTGCTTCAAACACCAGTATGGTAAGATGTGAATACCCCTTGCTCAGGGAGCCCCTGTCTAACCTAGTACCCATCTGCCCACTCTACCATCTGAGAAATAGAACGGGCCTCCTCCAGCCTTACTGTACCGAAGAGTGAACCCAGGGCCTTTTGCATGCAGGGCAAGCACTCTACCACTTAAGCCATGCCCCCAGCACCTCCCCTCCCTTTTGAAGGTACTAGGGCTTGAATGCAGCCTCACATCCAGCCCTTTTCTTGTGCTGAGTATTTTCTAGATAAGGTCTTGTGAACTATTTGCCTCGGGCTGGCTTTGAACCATGATCCTCCTAATCTCTGCCTCCTGAGAAGCTAGGATTACAGGCATTTTTTGAGGGTCTGGCTAGCTTTCCCCAGACTGGCCTAAAATTGGAGATCCTTCTGTCTCTGCCTACCAAGTAGCCCTATGATACTCATTTCTAGTTACAGGGTTTGAATGATAATAATAATTAAAATAAAATCATAGCATACCACCACCATTGATGTGCCAGGAACTGTTCTAAGCACTTTACAAATACTATTTCATTTCATTCTCAGAACCACCCCCTTTCTACTGTACTTATTTCCATTTTGACAGATGGAGAAACTGAGTCTGGACCCAGAGACCCTATACTATCTCCTGTTTGAAAATATGCAATTTGAAGGTAGAAAAATGCCTAAGAAAGTAGTTTAACACTTCAGCCTAATTCATTCATATCCACCCTTTCTCAGCCTCAAGAATATGCCATGCTAGAGCCATTTGCAGCAAGATGTCTGAGACTGAAGTGTGAGTCATGAAATGGATTATGTATTTGCTACCACTTCAAGCCTTCTCAGGTCAAATTCCTGTACTCCCTTGGGAGGGTAGGGGCCATAGGAGGGGAGGATGAATCTCTCTCTCTCTCTCTCTCTCTCTCTCTCTCCTTTCTTATTGCAAAATACACTAGGCACTCTTCAGTGTAGCAGACTATGACAACACCAGGCCTGATTCAGGAACGACAATATGGAAGGCAGATGGCAGATGCATGGATGTCACATTATTGCATTTCAGTTAAATATTGCTTGGTGTTAGTTTTTTTTCCTTGTAAACCTCCCAAATAAAATCGTTTGGTTTCCTCAAGTTAGAAGTGTTAGCATGTCTTTTCTTTAAATATCTGTGCATAGCTGTTTTTTTCCCTGCCAATTTGTCACCATCTGTAACCCTCCTTTTATGAGATGATCTGATGACAGCAATTATCTTGGAGAGTAAAAGTGCAGTCTTGAAGCAACATGTAAGAGTGGCAGCAGTGTAGCTGTGTGTGCTGCCCAGCACTTGGTGTGTGCTTGCTGTGTGTACGCAGTGACAGTGGACTTTGGCTCAGGGTGTATTTGCATATACATTGAGAGTGTGCAGTGTGCATGCATTCTGTGAGTGTCTGTAGTCTGTGCGATCAGCTGTGTGCCTTCCTGTGTGCCTGAGGTCTGTGTGATCTACTACTAAGGGAAGATGTTCCCGAGGAGGACATGATTTCTATAAAGGGGTTGGAGAGGGCCTGAAATTTGGAGAATTGGGCCAAGGAATATTAGCAGGGATTGGGTCTGGATCAAAGGAAAGTGACTTGCAGGAGGGTCCCCCTGAGATGGTGGCTGACCATGAAGAGCGAGGGGGTCTCCGGCGTCTCTCGCGGGGAGTGCGGTCTGGGCGCGCGCGCGGGCGGCCGGCTGGGAGCCTCAGGCGCGCTCCGCCCCTCCCCCTCGCTCCCACCCCCGGGCGCGGCGCCGCGGGGGAGGGGGGACTCCGGCTGCCTGGGGCCGCGGCGGCCGATCGAGGGGCTGCGGTGGCGGCTGTGATGGCGGGCGGTGGCGGGGCCGGGCGGATGGCCGGGGCCGCATCCCTGGGGAAAGTCAGCCGCTTGGAGCCCTAAGGCGCCGCCCGGCCCGACTCCACCATGAACGTCGCGCTGCAGGAGCTGGGCAGCGGTGGCAATGTGAGTGGGAGCTCTGGGCCCCGAGGGAGAGGATCGGGGTGGAGGGGGGACGAGGCGTGGAGGGGTCGGCGGCGAGGGATCAGGCGGCGTCCGGCAGGGGCTCCGACTCGCCGAGGTGCGGCTTCGTACGGGGGTTAGGGAGGGACAGAGTCAGAGGGGACCCCAGGCTCAAGAGCCCGGCAGGTGGGAAGGGGCCCTTTTTGCAGGTGGGAGGGGTCCCCGGCAAGGGACACTGGGGCAGGGCTGTGGGCAAACAGCCCTCTCTGCCTGACCTCGGTTGGCGTCCCGGACTGTCTGGCAGATGGTGGAGTACAAACGGGCCACGCTTCGGGATGAAGACGCACCCGAGACCCCCGTAGAGGGCGGGGCCTCCCCGGACGCAGTGGAGGTGGGCAAGGGGGTTCCCCCTTTCTCACCAGGCCCCAGCCCTAGCATGACGCCTGGCAAACCCAGGAGCTCTGGGCTGTTCTGAAGGGTTACTGACCCCATCTTCGCTCGATCTCTGGACTATGGTGAGGCGATCCTAAGCCATGACGTTGCACAAAAAGTCAGGCTCAGGGCTCAACTCTGCCTGCCTCATTGCCCCTGGGCCCCAAGTTAGCTCCAATAGCCTGTTTTACTCCATGGCTCTGGAAACTGCCTGTGCCTTCACCCTCTCAGAACACTTCCGTAATCTTGCATCCCTGCCCTCCAGCTCAATCGAGCTCCATCTCCGTGTTTCCCAGGTGGGATTCCGAAAGAGGACAAGACAACTCTTTGGCTTGCATACCCAGCTGGAGCTGATCTTGGCAGGTGTCTCTCTACTGCTGGCTACACTGCTTCTGGGCTGCCTGTTGGCCCTAGGGGTTCAGTACTACAGAGGTAGGTGGGCCCACACCTTTCATCTGTCGTTATACCTGTGGGGGCTCTGAAGCCTGAAGGGCCTCTCAGATTTTCTCTTGCTGGGTTCCTGTGGCTAATGCCTGTAATCCTAGCTACTCAGGAGTCAGAGATCAGGAAGATTGTGGTTCAAAGCCAGCCAGGGCAAATAGTGTGAGAAACCCTATCTCAAAAACAAACAAACAAAAAAAAACCATCACAAAAAAAGGGCTGGTGGAATGGCTTAAGGTCCAAGCCCAGAGTTCAAACTCCAGTATGGCCAAAAAAACGTTTTTTTTTTTTTTTTTTCTCCAGTTGGAAGTTATCTTAACTTCCTGCTGTCATAGCATTTCCAAAGAGTTTGCCTCTGACAGGCTGATAGTCTCATATCCTCTTCCATGTCCCCTGACACAGACCCATCCCACAGCACCTGCCTCACAGAGGCCTGCATTCGAGTGGCTGGAAAAATCCTGGAGTCTCTGGACCGAGGGGTGAGCCCCTGTGAAGACTTTTACCAGTTTTCCTGTGGAGGCTGGATTCGGAGGAACCCCCTACCTGATGGGCGTTCTCGCTGGAACACCTTCAACAGCCTCTGGGACCAGAACCAGGCCATACTGAAGCACCTGCTTGGTGAGTGGGGCTGTCAGGGAGGCGCTGTGCCAGTTAAGCTTTCTGTCCAGCACAGGGCCTGGCAATTAGGAGGTACTCAATAAGTGTTCATAAGTGAAGAAGTGAATGGATTGGTATTTGAACACTTTAGGAAAGAGAGCATGCAGAGAGCAGGGGGCTCATAAGAACTGGAGATAGGTTTGAGGGGGTAGATCTCTATCTGTACTGTTGAGGTGTGGTAGGCACCAGGGACCCTGAAGACTCATCTTTGGAGGGTCTCCATGGATAGGGGGAAGCCATGATTTGCTGTGTCAGCCTTGGGTCTACATTAGGAGGACTGCTCATTGAAATTGCAAGAGAGGGACAAAAGCAAAGGCCAGGACTTCCACTCAGCTGTTAATCTAATGGACACTTAACCATGTGTTCTACCCTACAGAGAACACCACCTTCAACTCCAGCAGTGAAGCCGAGAGGAAGACACAGCGCTTCTACATGTCCTGCCTACAAGTGGAACGCATTGAGGAGCTGGGCGCCCAGCCACTGCAGGACCTCATTGACAAAGCAAGAGCACAGATGGGCTGTGGGCAGGAGGAACAGGAGAGGGTGTGGTCCCAGAAAACTCTGGGACCCCTGTGCTAGAGGTTCCACTTATTTATCTGTACTCAGATCGGTGGTTGGAACATTACGGGGCCCTGGGACCAGAACAACTTCATGGAGGTGCTGAAGGCAGTAGCAGGGACCTACAGAGCCACCCCATTCTTCACCGTCTACATCAGTGCTGATTCTAAGAGTTCCAACAGCAATGTCATCCAGGTGGGAAGGGTGGGGAGAGAATCATTGACCTTTTGCTGAGCCCAGACTCCCCCCATTGCCCCTCCTCTATGACAGGCAGTCTGGGATGGTCCTCCCACCCTGAAAAGGAATTCAGAGTCTAGAAGGAAGGGAGACTCATTTTCTTTCATTGCTCTTGCAGGTGGACCAGTCTGGGCTTTTTCTGCCCTCTCGAGATTACTACTTAAACAAAACTGCCAATGAGAAAGTAAGGAGCATGCTCAGAACCCCGCCCCCACGTCCTTGCTAAGCTGGGTTGATGATCCCCTTGTACTTTTCTTTGTCCAGGGTCCAACTGGGGAAGGGGAGCCTGTCCTGTTGCCTAGTGAGCCAACTGCTCTTTCTTCCTTCCTCCTTCTTATTCTTCCAGGGAAACTTTTTTTTTTTTGTGGTGTTGGGTATTGATACCTGCTAGACAAGCGTTCTACCACTGAGTACATCCCCAACAATTTTTAAATTTCTTTTTGTGTGTTTGGAATTGAACCCAGGACCTCATGCATACTAGGCAAGGCTCTGCCACTGAGCTATACCCCCAGTACCTGGAAAACATTTAATGGGCACCTACTGCATTGGCGCTCAGTGGGGGAATTCTGAGATGTAAGTTTCAGAGCAGGAAACTTTCAGTGGTGATGGCTTTGTGGGCCTATATAGCTGAGCACAAGGCTCAAAAGAGGATCTTAAAGACTCTCTATCCAGAAAACATTTTCTGAAGATTGCATCTGAGCGAGGCTCTGTAGAATACATAGGAGTAGATGAGGGCATGCTGGGCAGAGAGAACAGGTTAAACAAATATGGAAGATGCCAAGCACAGTGGGTCATACCTATAATCCTAGATACTGGGGAGGCTGAGATGGGGAGGATTGTGATTCAAGGCCAGCCTGGGCAAATAGTTCAAGAGATCCCATCTCCAAAAAAATAACCATAGCAAAATAGTCTGGAGGTGTAGCTCAAGTGGTAAAGTGCCTACTTTGCAACCATGAAGCCCTGAGTTCAATCCTCCCAGCTCTCCCCACCCCGGAAATAAAAGCATAGAAGAGAGATTTTGGACCATGGGAAGGGGTCTAGGTTGGCAAGATGGGAGTCTGGAAGGTTCAGGAACTAGTTATTGCCTCACTAAGGAGCTAATTCTATACCTCCCAGAGAGCCATGGCATGCTCCACAGGAAGGAGAGAGTGATGCACTGTGCAGTGCTTTGGGAAGCCTCCCTATGGAGGGTGAAGTATGTCTGCAGCCCTCCAGGCTCTGACTCAGTAAGGGCCCAGGCGAGGAAGCAACAGAGGGAATGTTAGAAAGCAGAGGCTACAAGAGATGTAATCAAGCTAGAATCAAAAGTTGTTGATGACTGGGTGTTAGAAGAGGGATGAGGTAAAGATGATTCAAGCTGTAAGATTGAGTAATGGTGGAATGGAGAATCAGGGGTGGCTGTAGGAAGCTTATGGTGTGTTGGGGAAGAGGAGACTGTGATGTCACAGGACAAGGAGTGATTATGGAGTCAGACCTGCTGCCTGGTGCAGAAGATTGACCTCCCTAAGGCTGTTTCCTCATCAGTAAAAGGGGAAGCATAGCCTTTACCTCCTGTGAGGTATGGGGGTGCAGCCTTATGCTCTTGTATGTGGCAGACACTTGGGGTGTGGAGTTTGAGGGACCTGGCACTTTCTGTAAGAGAGGTCATCGGCAGCTGTGGAAGTTGAGTGGAGTCTTGGAGAAAGGACAGTGCGAAGGGAGCCAGAGGCTCCAGGGGACATCTGCAAAACTCAGATGAAGATGTGGGACAGGTGGGAAAAAGGGTATGTCTTTTTAAAGCTGTATTTATTTTTACAGCAGTACTGGGGTTTGAACTCAGGGCCTCATGCTTGCTAAGGCAGGTGCTCTACTATGTGAGCCACTCCGCCAGTCCCAGGGTATGTCTTTTAAGGGCAGCAGAGGAAAGAGCATCAGAGAAGACCACTACAACAGGACAACTTGGGGAGTCCTGTCCTTTGGGCATTCCTTTGCAAACATTTTCTGAGCATTTCTCAGCCAGACTCTCCTCTAGGCATGTGATGAACAAAACATTGCCACTGTCCTCTAAGTGGTAGAGAAGACATGAAATACTGGTGACATAGTGTCCCCAAAGTTGTTGGGACCATGATAGAGGAGAAGCATGGTCTTAACTGGGAATCAGCTGAGTGTCCCAATAGGGTAGGTGGCAGTGAAAGGAGGGCTCTGCATAGGGAGTAGCTTAGGCAAAGGCTCTGAGGGGAAGGGCAAATGGCCTATTGACATACTCCAGGAGAGAGAGAGTAGGAGGGGAGACTGGCCAGGTCCTTTTGCACAGTGATGTAGACCTGTTTTATATAAGAACATTCTGGCTCAGGTTTAGGATTTAGGGCTTCAGGCATGGCTCAAGTGTTGAGTGCTTGCCTAGAAAGCACAAGACCCTGAGTTCAAACCCTAGTATGGCCAAAAAATAAAAATAAAAAAATAGTAGTATAAAGTTGCTCTTCGTTAGAGAGGTTAATTTTTTTTTAAAGTTTAGGATTTAGTTTTCATTATCTTTTTATTTTATTTTATTTTGGTGGCACTGGGGTTGAATTCAGGGCCTTGCACTTGCTAGGCAGGTGCTCTACCACTTGAGCCACACCCCAGCCCAGCCCTAGAGTTTTTTTTTTTGAAACAGGGTCTCACCAGGTAGCTCATGTTGGCCTCAAACTTGCAATCCTCAGCTTCCTGAGTATAGAATGACAGGTGTGTACTACTATGCCCAGTGTTTATGCAACTTTTTTCTTCTTGCCTTATGGTAGATTAAACCCAGGACCTTGAGCATGCTAGGCAAGTGCTCTAACCACTGAGCTACACCCCCAGCCCATGCCCTTATGTTGCCCAGGCTGGTCTCAACTCCTGGACTCAAATGATCACCCTGCCTCAGCCTCCCAAGTGCTGGACCACCACACCTAGCAAGTGTAGGATTTATGCCAAACGAAATGGAAAGGGAGACTCCAAAGTGGTATGAACAGGTGTGTGATTTTGGTATTCACTGAGTCGGGAGGAGAGAATTTTGAGAACACAGGAAAGAACCACTCTCACAGTGCTTTGGAAAAGACAAGGGTTTGGCTCTCAGTGAGGCTCTTGTTGCCTTGGGTAGGAAGCCTTCTGCCAGGATCTAGGAGAGGGTGCAGCACAAAAGATTAATATGGGATAGAGACTAGAAGTACAGAAGGTTCAGGAAGGTTTCAGAGTAAGTCTTAAGCTGAGGGTAAGGACATAGCGAGAGGAAGTGATAATGTGAGGTGATTTGTCTGAGTAAACCATCCCTCTTAGGAGCTATGATGACTGGGGTTGGTACTCAAACCCCTTCTTCTGACAGCAGCAGCAAGAAAGAGGAGAGTGGGAAAAGAAGAAATTTTGCAGTACAAGGGATATATGCAGATATCCCTTGGATATCAAGGGATTTAAAACTTCTCAGTGAAATAGAAGAGGAGATGGCCTTTAGCAGTCAAGGGAGCCCACGTAGGGTTTCAGGTTGAGTGGGAAATGAAGGCAGGAGTGGTGGTACATGCCTGTAATCCCAGCACTCAGGAGACTGAGGCAGGAGGATTACAAATTCGAAGCCAGCCTGGAAAATATGGTATGACCTGTCTCAAAAAAAAAAAAATTAGACAGTATCTATGGGAGGAGGGGCCACAGGGGTTGGTGCTAAGCAGTTCTGAGGGTCCTTTTTGTGTTTCCTTCCCTTTCCTCAATAAATACTTATTGACCACCTACTATGTAGCAGATACTGTACTAGAGCCTGAGAATACAGCCTGGCCCTCATGGAGCCCAAGAGCCAGCTGGGCATGCAGTAACATGGGTTTGTGCTGGGCCCCAGTGATGTTCAGGCCCAAGCCACATCCTGACTCTGCCATGTGGTAGTGTGTGAGAGGAGCCAAGTTAGGCTATCTTTCCCAACTTGTTCCTCTATGTACAGTGGGATTAATATCCACTTTATGGAGTTGGGAGAAGGGGCTGGGAAGAAGATACATGATATGAAAAGCCCCTAGCAATCTGATCTGCTTACACATAAGTGCTTACTAAATATTTCTTTTCTGTGCTTTTCTCTCCCTTGGAGGCTATAAATTTGGGTGGTGGCAGAGAAAGCACAAATTTGAGGACTGGCAGAATGAGAGGTAGAAGGGACTTGATATGGGATTCAGTAAGCCATTCAAGTGAAGGCCTCTGGTCACTAGGGGACTAGGACAACTAGAAGGGCTTTAGGGAATGAGAAGGCAAAGCAGTATGGGAAACAGACCATCCACAGGACAAAAAACCAGTTGTGTGCTTAGCTCTGTTCAAGGCTTTTGGAATACAGTGGTGAACAGCTGTGGTAACTTGAACAGTGCTCTCCTGGGGGAAATAGATAAGTAAGTGTGCAGATGAATAAGCAAGACAGAGCATACAGTGGTAAGCACTGTGTCAGAAATGACACAGGGTCACACAGGAAGGCTTTCATAAAGAGCATCAAGCAGAAGAGACAGTGGACAGAACAGATCTCAGGCTTGGGCAGGACTTGCTGCTGAGGATAACTGGGACCTTCTTAGGTGCTCACTGCCTACCTGGACTACATGGAAGAGCTGGGGATGCTGCTGGGTGGAGGGCCAACCTCCACCCGAGAGCAGATGCAGCAAGTGCTGGAGCTGGAGGTGCAACTGGCCAACATCACAGTACCCCAGGACCAGCGGCGGGACGAGGAGAAGATCTATCACAAGATGAGCATCTCTGAGCTGCAGGTGGGGCAGCCATGGGGCTAGAAACATGTGGGAGGGGCCAGCCTTTGGCACCGACCCTCAGCTTCCCTTCACACCTCCTTCCTGAGACAGCCCACAGTGCTTCCTTATTTCCTTGCTTTTCTGAGCTTCCCAGCTGCACTGTTGCTTTCCTAGAAAGAAAACTGGTGACCATTTTAAGCCACTTCTCACAGGACCATCCTTTGGTCCCTTTCTTGTGGCCTGGAGATGCATGGAGAGATTGTGTTCAAAATTTATAACAACTTGGGGTGGGGAAAACGTATAACAACTTGATGATGTTCACAAATCAGAATATGTATGGCAGCATCTTCTACAGGCCCCTACTGTGCCAGTCCTTTGGGAGTTGGATCATGGAAGGGTTAGGGAATGGGGAGGTTCTGGAGGAGAGACCAGACACGTGGGAGGTGTTGGGGAGTGGTATTTTATCAACTGTTAAGAAAATATTTGAATATCTGTGCTCCAGCTGAATATCACACATGCTGGTTTTCGTTGTCATAGTAAGTGGTTGGGCTACCAGAATGAGGGGCGCTTAGGCCTGGAAAAGGGTTCATTACAGGAAGGAGTCGCCAAGCAGCCGGTAGCAGTTGCCATGGCAATGGGAAGGACTCCCAGGCTACAGCATATGGGGGGGGGAGGGGTCTGTTGGAAGCCAAGTGAGCTGGCAAGAAGGGAAGCCTGAGGAATTTTTTTTTTTCTCTCTCAGGCTCTGGCGCCCTCCATGGACTGGCTTGAGTTTCTGTCTTTCTTGCTGTCACCCCTGGAGTTGGGTGACTCTGAGCCTGTGGTGGTGTATGGGACGGATTATTTGCAGCAGGTGTCAGAGCTCATCAATCGCACAGAACCAAGGTGGGAAGAGTCCAAGGTGAAGGGGTGGGACTCAGGGCTCTGTGGAGATCTCTGGCAGGGCCCAGGCAGATCTTTGGAAGGCCCTAAACCTTCCAAATATCAAATGAGAATGTCTTCTGGGCAGGGCTTCAGGGTGCCATTTGTGACTTCCATTCCCACACCTTGCTCAAAGCTGACTTCCCAGGGTGAGACAGGGACTCCAGGACAGCTTCCATATGTGCCTCTCAGGACTCCTGCTGCCTGCACCTTCTTGGGCACTGGTTAGGGGGAGGGAAAAGGTACCCCACCTGGCCTTTTCTTATTTTCTGGTGTGGATACCAGCATCCTGAACAATTACCTGATCTGGAACCTGGTACAGAAGACAACCTCGAGCTTGGACCAGCGCTTTGAGTCTGCACAGGAGAAGCTGCTGGAGACCCTTTATGGCACCAAGAAGGTGGGCTCTCTGCCTCCCCCTGCTCCACTTCTGACCCAACCTAGCTGGTGGTGATCACCTGCAGTGTGTCAGGCTTCACGGAATGCAGGTACATAGTGTGGAGCACAGAATTTGAAATCAAGCTCTCCTGGGTTCCAGTCCCAACTCCTTCATTTTTTTTCATTCATGTGGGACCTTAGGCATGTCACCCAGTTTCTCCAGCTCTCCATTTCCTGGTCTGTAAAGCAGGAATAGTTTGCGGGGCTGTTATGAGGATTAAGTGAGCTAATTTAAATGCCTGTGTTACACCTTATTCATGGTATAGTATAGGCACTCAGCTTTGATGATGGGAGTGCTGACAGTGAATAAATGCAGTTCTTCATTTCAACATGCTCCATTAAGTAGAAGGTGTGAACTTGTAAACAAACAAATTATATTTGGGAGTGGTAAGTGGCCACAATGAGTGAAACGCCTTCTTTGTGGTATAGGACAGAGATAAGACAGCACACTGTACCTGGGGAACCATGAGGGAGGCATCAGAAAAATTGTCTCTTAAGACAGTGCCATTTGAAGGATGAACTTCTCCAAGAGTGCAGGGAGAAGGGAATTTCAGGCAAAAGAAACAGCTCATATGAATTCCCAGAGGGTGGAAGGAGCTTGGTGGGTTTGCATTTGTTCTGGTAGGAGCTTGAGAACAGGACAAAAGAGAGGCTAAACTTCTAAAGGTGGGCATGGGGCATTTATCAAGGGATCTGGCTGTTGTATTAAGAAGTCTGCCTTGATTCTTTCACGGGAAAACAATAACACAGGTTATGTGTTAGATATTCTTTCTGGCATCTAAATGGATGGTGGAGAAGAGTGACGGGGGAGGAGGATGAAGGGGATGAGACACTCTATCAGTGTCCAGTCTCTTCAGTCAAGAGATGATAACATTGTAGGGCAGGGAAGTGGTGATGGGGTAGACAGAAGAGATGGTGAAGCAGAGCCAATAGAAACTAATGATAGAATCAATGTGGGTGCTGGGGGAAATGGAGGAAGTTTGGGTGACACCAGGGTTCTGTTTTGGGAGACTGATTAGACTTTAGTCTGAGTTGTGGAGCTGAGCAAAGAAACTTCAGGACTGTGATGGGGCCTTTTAGAAACATAAAAAAAGAGAAGAGTGCTAAGAATAGAGTGGATAGCACAGGTATTCCTACTGCTATTTTGCTGCTGGGATTAGTACAGTTTGAGATACTGCTCTACACTTTCCCTGGAGAGTAAGGGAGAGACAGCATACGAAGCCCAGGCCTCTGTTGTCCAAAACTGAGAAGGGCCGTCAGATTAGAGGATAGAACTATCTCTGGGGGCCTGGTTCTTTGTGCCTTTACAGTCCTGCACACCGAGGTGGCAGACCTGCATCTCCAACACGGATGATGCCCTTGGCTTCGCTTTGGGTTCCCTCTTTGTGAAGGCTACCTTTGACAGACAAAGCAAGGAAATTGTGAGTCTCCAGGCTTCTTCTGGCATTACCCTTTTCTTTATTTAAAATTCACTTTTCATAAAGGACTGGAGTCTGTGGCTCAAATAGTAGAACCAAATAGTTCTTTTGGGTGGCGAGGTTTATTTATTTATTTTTGGTTCTTTAAAGTTTTCTGTATTTTCCTAATTATTATTATTATTATTATTATTTACAATATTGGGGTTTGAACTCAGGTTTGAACTACACCTCGAGCCACTCCACCAACACTTTGTTGTGATGGGTTTTTTCGAGATAGGGTCTCAAGAACAATTTGCCTGGGCTGGCTTTGAACCATGATCTTCCTGATCTCTGCCTCCTGACTAGCTAAAATTGCAGGCATGAGCCACTGGCACCTGGCTAAATTTTTAAATGATGAATTTATACTGTCTATATGAGTAGAAAAATAATATTTTTTATTTATTAGGAGATGATAGTTGATGTGCTTAAAGTATTATCCATATGGATATTTACGGCAGTGTTGTTTATAATAGGGAGAAATGAAACCAGCTTAAATGTCCTACCATGGGGTAAAGGAAAAATAATTTGCTGCGAGGATGGCTTATGAGGAGACTTTAAATTGAAGATATATTTGTAAGTGAAAAAATGTAGGCTGCAATATATATGTTCACATATATATGTTATATAACACAATGCCGTATTTTATAACAATTATCTATTTCATATGTATATCTGGGTGGAGGAAACACCATAAGTAGATAAGCAGAATGTTAAAAGAAGTTATCTAGCTGGGCATTGGTGGCTGTCACCTGTAATCCTACCTAATTGGTAGGCTGAGATCAGGAGAATTGTGGTTTGAGGCCAGACTGGGCAAATGCTTGTGAGACCCCCATCTCCAAAATGATCAGAACAAAATGGACTAGAGGTGTCGCTCAAGCAGTAGATCACCTGTTTTGCAAGTGTGAAGACCTGAGTTCAAGCTCCAGTCCCAAAACAAAAAAACAAACAAAAGCTATGTAGGCATGCTCCCAACTACTTGAGAGTCAGAGCTCAGAAGGATCACCTTTTAGGGAGAACCCCCACACACACCCCATCTCAATCAGTAAACCAGGGTTGTTGGCATGTGTCTATGTCCTAGCTACTTAGGGGGCTATGGTTAGAAGGATCATGGTCGGGCTGGCCCTGGGCAAAAATGAGAGACCTTAACTGAAAAATGCCTTAAGCAAAAAGGACTGAGGGCATGGCTCAAGTGGTACAGCACCTGCCCTAGCAAGCTTGAGGCTCTTAGTTCAAAGCCCATACTAGCTGGGCATAGTGGTCACATCTGTAATCTCAGCACTTGGGTGGCTGAGGCATAAGGATCTTGAGTTTGAGGTTAGCCTGAGTTACATAGTGAGAACCTGTTTTGAAAAAAAAAAAAGTACTATTTTAAGTTATATTGATTTAATTAATATTGGCGATTAAAATGTTTAATTCATTAAAAAAAGCAACACACAGTGCCAGTACGCCAATACCTTCAGGAATGGTGCTTCCTTTTCACCCTCCCTAGATGTTCAGCCTTTTTCCAAGAGTCTGGACATTCCCATGGCTCCCTGGAGGGATAGGGATATCCCCTAGGGTCCATGGCAAAGCAGGGATCCACTAAAGTGCAGGAGGAGGCTAACTTGTGCCCCCCCACCCAGGCAGAGGGGATGATCAGTGAAATCCGGTCTGCTTTTGAGGAGGCCCTGGAGGAGCTGGTTTGGATGGATGAGAACACCCGGCAGGCAGCCAAGGAGAAAGTGAGTCATGTCTGGGGTTAGGGTGCCATCTTGAGGTGGGGATAGAGAATACAGTTTTGTTGGAAGCTGGGAAGGAAAACCCTTAGCCTGGTCTCTTTAGGCAGATGCCATCTATGATATGATTGGTTTTCCGGACTTCATCCTGGAGTCCAAAGAGCTGGATGATGTATATGATGGGGTGAGTACCTGTGCTCAGATCACTGACCTTTATCCCTGTGGGGGCACCGTTTTCTGGTCTCAGTAGTTAGGACTCAGGCTCCGGGAGGGAAGGAGGTGCATGTTGGTTCCTTTCAGAGGCAGATGCAAAAAACAAGCTTTGCTTAAGTGTTGGCTCTGTGCCAGACTGGGGGCCAATGGCGGTGAAATGTAGTATTAATGAGCTATCAGGGATTTATAATCAAGCCTGAATTAAACCATGTTTCTACCCTAACTGTGTAACCTTGGACAAGACTTCTTTGGGCCTCAGTTTCTTCATCTGTAAAACAGTGATACTACTATGACCTATCTTAGCACCTGCAGCATAAGTACTTTTTAAAATATCAGCAATTATTTACTAGCTATTTCACTCCCAGTTTACAGTTGAAGAAACTGAGGCTTGGAGAGGGGGTAATTAGTAGCCAAGTTGGGGCTATTATCTTGTCGAACATGTTCTCGCTTGGTTTCTACCTCCCACCATTCCCATAGTATGAAGTCTCTGAAGATTCTTTCTTCCAAAACATGTTGAATCTCTACAACTTCTCTGCTAAGGTGATGGCTGACCAGCTCCGCAAGCCTCCCAGCCGAGACCAGTGAGAGTGGGAGGCCACAGACAGTGGGGCAGCAGGGGAGGTGGGCAAAGATTTGCAGGAGTGGGGCAAAGGGTGGCACTAGGTTCTCCTAGGAGGTAGGACAGGGCTGCTGGGCTGAGGGCACTTGGAGAGTACAGGGCCTCAGCCTCTTCTTCCTTCTCTAGGTGGAGCATGACCCCCCAGACAGTGAATGCCTATTACCTTCCAACCAAGAATGAAATCGTCTTCCCTGCTGGCATCTTGCAGGCCCCCTTCTATGCCCGCCATCACCCCAAGTGTGTCTGAGGCAGGAGGGGCTGGGTGCCGGGACCTGGGCCTGTGGGTGAGCTGGGAGCACAGCTGGAGACAGGGGATGCAGAAGTCCCCCTACCATGTTCTCACTCAGCATTCCTCACTACCAGGGCCCTGAACTTTGGTGGCATTGGTGTGGTAATGGGCCATGAGTTGACACATGCCTTTGATGATCAAGGTAGGGGCCCATGGTGCTGTCCCCTCCAGCCTAGAATTCCCAGTGTCTCTTGGAAGGCCTTGGGATGTTGGGGCAGACCCTGGGGCCCTGGACTAGGGTTGGTGGGAATGCTCCTGCCCTCAAGAGGTGAGCTGTCATTTTGGTAGGGTGCAAAAAATGTATGTTCTCCTAGGGCGTGAGTATGACAAGGAAGGGAACCTGCGGCCCTGGTGGCAGAATGAGTCCCTGGCAGCTTTCCGGAACCACACGGCCTGCATGGAGGAACAGTACAACCAGTATCAGGTCAACGGGGAGAGGCTCAATGGCCGTCAGACGCTAGGGGAGAACATTGCTGACAACGGGGGGCTTAAGGCTGCCTACAACGTGAGTGGTCAGGCAGGCCTCCAGTGGCCAAGGCCTATCGGCTTGGGTGGAGGGATATGGGGGAAGTGGGTAGGACCTAGTGGACTTGCTGCCCACTGTTCCTCCTTCCCACCCCAGGCTTATAAAACATGGCTGAGGAAGCATGGTGAGGAACAACAGCTGCCAGCTGTGGGGCTCACCAACCACCAGCTCTTCTTTGTGGGATTTGCCCAGGTATTGCCCTCAGGAAGAACTGGGGTGTGCTCCTCTCATCACTCCAGGGATGTCACCAGAAGTTGGAGTCATGCAGGAAAGGGGCTGGGGAATGGGGTGGAAGTTGATGTGTGGGAAGTGAGTGGGGAAGGCCTTGTGCCCAGAGCCCATGAAAGCTGCTGGAGAAGTGAGAAGTCTTTGGTAGTATTTTGCATATCTTAAATGGCAGGGCTGCCCACTTGATGGGGGAAGAGGTTGGAGCAGGCATGAATCCTCTCAATGTCCCTGTGGGGTAGTGTGGAGGAGGAAACTAAAGCTTAGGGACACAAAGCAGTTTGTTCAGGGCTGAACAGGAATAAAGTAAGTTGCAGAGCAAGGACTTAGGCAGGGCTTCCTCCAGGTACTTTGTACCACAGCAGGCAGCCCCAAGGGCTCTGCTTTTCCCTCAACCATGACCATGCTGGGCGACAGAATGTCCAGGAAGCCAAATTCCTTTAGGCTTCAAGGAATTTGGGAGGGAAGGTGTGTGCTGAGGGGCTGGCGGAACCCTCTTCATGTCCCTGAGGCCTCTTGAGCCCAGGGGCTCGGCCAGTGGTTGTTCATATCTCTAGGATAGCTCTGCTACAGCTGAAGCTATGGCCCAGATCCACACTAGACACCATATGTGCCCGTGTCTGTCCTGGTCCACAGGTGTGGTGCTCAGTCCGCACACCAGAGAGCTCTCATGAGGGGCTAGTGACCGACCCCCACAGCCCTGCCCGCTTCCGTGTGCTGGGCACTCTCTCCAACTCTCGTGACTTCCTGCGGCACTTCAGCTGCCCTGTCGGCTCTCCCATGAACCCAGGGCAGCTGTGTGAGGTGTGGTAGACCTGGGTCTGGAAGAAATGGCCTGCTGCCACCAGAGCCTGGGGCTTCCAGAATAGGAAAAAGCAAATGGACTGGGCTGGGTCCAGTCCCTCCACCCCACAGATGAGAGTCTATTACCCCCTCAACCACATCGTGCCTCTGCTTTGGGGGTGCCCCTGCCTCCAGCAGAGCCCCCGCCATTCACTGTGACATCCTTCTGTGTCGCCCTGCCTGGAGGGGGTCTGAGTGGAGGCACCAGTTCCCACAGGAAGGAGCCTGCTCACTCAGCTTGGGGGCCATATTGTGCCTGCCCCATTCTAAGTACAAAGACCCATGGCTGTGCCTCCTGGCTTCCCCCCAGGCTCCTTCAGTGCCCACGTGGGACGAGTGGGCTCAACTCCTTCCAGCCCTGACCTCAGGGGCTGCCCCTATCCTGTACTCCTTGTGCTGCTGCTCCTAGTACTGCTCCTCCCCACCTCATGGACAGACCGGCTGTGCTTGGCTCTTAGCAGAAAGCTGGGGCTTGACAAGCCTTCTTGGGGCCCAATTTCCCTGGGGTGAGAGGGCAAGCGTGTATGTGTAGAGTGCTGGTTCCTGTGTTTCAGGGCACAAGTCTCAGGGGATGACTGAGTCTCCCTGGACCAAACAGTAAAGCAGATAGTGCAGGGAAAAGGATGGACAGAGTTTATTTTTACAGAAAAGAGGGTGGGGAGGGTGTGGCCCTGTAGGACCGTTTGCCAATAAATAGACCCACATCAGTCAGCCTGTCTCTTCCTTCAGTCCTTTCTTCATATATTCATTTACTCATCTCACCAATATTTATCAAACAACTACCGTGTGCCAGGCATTCTTCCAGACACTCATTTACTCACTCATCAGATCCAGGGGACTGTTTGAAGCTCCGAGAAGACAGAGAAAGGGGCAGAGTGGAGGAATGGGATGCAGTTGAGTCTGGCTGGGCAGAGTTCATTTTCTGCTGTATAGCTGAAAGGATTTGCAGCTCCCCTCCACTGGTGCATGCAGCTGGCCTATCCGTATAGGATTAGATCAGCTTGAAAGATTGGTGGTCCTTACACTGCAGTGGTGGGAAGTCCTGGCCAAGGGCCTGAATCTCAGAGCACTAGCCTCTGACTGTACATTTCTCATAGTCTCAAAAGCTCAGAACTCCTGAGAGCCAGTCAGTCATTCCACCTGCACACACTCATGGAGGCCTACCAAGTGCCAGGCACAGAGATTGCAAATATGTCCTCTGCAATCCACAGCGAGGGAGGGAAGAGAAATGTTTATCAAATACCTCTTGTGTTCCAGGTACCTGTGCTAGGTGGCTCATTTCTTTATTCATTTATCCATTTACTAATTTATACATTCATAGATTTACTTTTCAAAAATTTATTGATCACTAGTAATGTGTCAGACACTGAGGATACCAAGATGAATAAGACAGTTTCTTCCCTTAGGTGACTCTTCTCTTTCACTTTTACCTTCATGTGCTCACCTAATCCTCATAGCAGCTGAATTCTCCAATTGTTCTGGTTTCCATTTTATAGATCTAACTGTAACCACTTTGCTATAGTCAGAGACCCAGATTGAAATTGACAGACTGATAATTGTGTGAGCTTGAACTTGTTCCCTAAACCTCTGTGATCCTCAGTTTCTTCATGTGTAATATGAAAACTTCAGCAAAACAGTGGAATGAGTCCAGTCTAACTTTTCTCTAAAGCTCAGTGCTCCCCAAGGAAGAGGTAGGGGTGAGTTTGTCAGGTTTGGGAGGGGAAGAGCGTGGGCCTGTCATAATTACTCTTGGGATCCCTAACCCTTCAGTGATGTCACTAGAGTGTGCTGCACAGACTGTATTATCCTGCCTGAGCTTCTCAGGGGACCAGACTGTCCTCAGAAAGAGCAGTCTATAGGGCCATATTACATTACCTGCAAGTACTGGCTGCTCACCAAGAGGAGCATCTATACTCAGAAAAGACCAAAGTGTTCTTTGTACTTCCATGGCCAGGAGAACACATGTGCTAAGCCTCTAAGAGCACAACTCCAGGGAGGAAAGAAAAGAGCCATCACTTCTGAAGACCAGGTTCTTGCTCTTGCTCAGCTATTCCCTAGCTATGTGACGCTAGGCATGGCTCGTCCTCTCTTTAGGTCTCAGTATCCTCAGAAGTCTGTAAAATAAGTGGATTGGGTAAATTGATCTCTGAGGATCATTTTAGCATTAATGCTTTACAAAGTGAATTTAAGCTGTCATGGTGGTCCTTGCCTGTAATCCTACCTACATGGGGAGCTAAGGCAGGAGAATCATCAGTTTGAGGCCAGCCTGTGCAATTTAGTGAGACTCTGTCTCAAAATAAAGTAAAAAAGGACTGGGGATGTAGCCAAGTGGTAGAACATTTGCCTAGCATGCACAAGACCCCGATTCAATCTCAGCACTAGACAGACAGATAGTTAGATAAAGTGAATTAATGGGTTAGCCAATTCCAGAATCCAAATATATATTAAGTGGATAGCTTGTGATTTTGGATGTTGTACGGTAGATGAGATTTAGAATGTTAGCAACCCGTTGTACTGAGGGGAGAGGCCAATCGGCTAATATGGCATTAAAAGTTCAGATTTGCAAAAGGATTAATGCCAAATAAAAAAATTACCAGTTTTCATTTCATGAATCCATATTTTGCTTAAGCCTGTTCTAAAATATCACCTCATTAACTGTCCACAATTTATAAGGAGGTTTTTATTAGTCTCTATAAGGGGGAAAACTAAGGAAAAGACTTATAGTAATTCCAATGTCAGACAAGATTGCATTAAAGTAAGGTTTGGAACTCAGATGTTCTTTTTTTTTTTTTTTTTTTTTTATTTTAACTTTGGTTTGTAAGTACACATTTTATTGTCTACATAGGAAAAATGCATTTAAACTAATGAATAGTTTGTTTTGGCACACACAACATATAACAATGGAATCTTGTGACATAATAAACAACTGAAAGAGATGGGGACCTTTAAAGGAGCACAGTTAAGAGAAAAGGTGAGATCAAAAAGAATTAACCTAGAAGGTAACACACATGCACAGGAAATCAATGTGAGTCAACTCCCTGCATAGCTATCCTTATCTCAACCAGCAAAAACCCTTGTTCCCTCCCATTATTGCTCATATTCTCTCTTCAACAAAACTAGAGACAAGGGCAGAACAGTTTCTGCTGGGTATTGAGGGGGTAAGAGGGAGAGGGAGGGGGCGGAGTGGGTGGTAAGGGAGGGGGTGGGGGCAGGGGGGAGAAATGACCCAAGCCTTGTATGCACATATGAATAATAAAATAAAAAATAAATAAATAAATAAATAATAAAGGAACACAGTTATTCAAGTTATGCTGTATAAATTCAAATTAGTGTTAAAATTGTTACAAAGAAAATAGCTGCAGAAAATACATAGTAAGAAATGAAAAAGAAATTTAAACAGTTCACTACCAAAAAAAAAAAAAAACCCTAACTATGTGTGCAAAGGACAACAGTAATCCAGGAAATGAGAGATTAAAAACTATAAGCTGTATAGAAAATACACAGTAAATGACAGAAGTCCCTTTCATCAATAATTGTTTAAACTTTCCAATCAAAAGACAGAATTGGTATAGCAGATAAAAATACACATTCCATCTATATGCTGTCTACACCAGAATCACTTTAGATCTAAAGACCACAGTGGAAAGAAAGGGAAGAGATATTCCAGGCAAACAAAGCAGTAAGCAAATACAAAGCGGGTGTGGCTGAGCCAACATCAGACAAAGCAGACTTTAAATGAAGAGGGGTTACAAGAAACAAAGACATTAAATGTTAATAAAAATTTCAGTATAAGGTAGGATAATTATAAACATATGTACAAGTAATGCAGATGATCAAAATATGAAGCAAAAATAACTGAAGGGAAAAACAGTTCTTTTTTTTTTTTTCCTTCCTTCCATTCTTTTTTTTTTTTTTCATTTTTCTTTTATTATTCATATGTGCATACAAGGCTTGGTTTATTTCTCCCCCCTGCCCCCACCCCCTCCCTTACCACCCACTCCACCCCCTCCCGCTCCCCCCCTCAATACCCAGCAGAAACTATTCTGCCCCTATCTCCAACTTTGTTGTAGAGAGAGTATAAGCAATAATAGGAAGGAACAAGGGGTTTTTCAGATGTTCTTAATCACCAGATAGTCTTCTAAGTCATGACAGAGTTTAGATACACACAGGCATCTATCTTCTGGACAAATTCATCATGCTTCAGAGTGGGACCATCACCAGCAGCAGCTGCATATCCATGCAAGCTTCCCTGGGCCAAGCAGCTGCTGGAAACTTATGCACACGTTGAGCTGAAGTTAAACCAGATAGCACCTGTTTGTTGAGCACACTGCAGGTGCTTGGTTCCTGAGGTAAGGCAAAGTGAACATCAGGTGACAATAACCCTGTCAGGCTGATGGATATGTATCTCTGACATGTTCTATTATATTGAAGCAGAAAGGGAACTAAAGAATTGTGCTCCTAGATAGACAAACCATAGAAATGATTGGTAAACTGCCATCTCCTATACTATCCCATTGGGAATGCTTAACTCCTGATCTGGGAATTGATCTAATTCCCATCCACAAGGCAATATGCCAAGAAACAGGATACTACCCTTGGTAGCATTCTGAAAATATCAGGCTGGAAGACAGTCCCTCATAAAAATAAGCACAGATTCAGTGGGCTTATGGTTCGCAAATGGAGACTCCTCATATTTTTCCAATTTCCAGCTCTGGGCTCCAAAGACAGCCCCAAAGGGATTATTGTTATACACAAAGATGACCCGAATGCAAGTATTTGTCAAGGTCTATCACAAGCCAGGTATTAGGCTGAGTACAAGGAGTACAAAGATGAATAAGACACTTCCTTGTCTTCTGGGAGCTCAGAGAATAGAAAGGGATATGTATGTTCCAAGTATGGTAGGTGCGCAGGAAAAAAATTAACAGGTAGGGTTGGAAAAGCATCTTAGATAAGTGACATTGAGCTTGAGCTTCCATCAAAGGATGGGAGTATTTACTAGCTGAAAACAGTGAAGGGCATTCCATACATAAGAAATAGCAATGTGAAAAGCCCAATCAGTTTGAAAGGGAAGGGCATGTTCAGAAATGTGAAATGTTTAGGATGATCAGAAAGGGGTAAATGAAAGGGACATAATTAGGGGATGAGAGTCTGGAGAAGGTAGTAGTAATAGAATGGTTGAAAAGACGGGATTGTAGCATCAGTTGTCAGTTCTGGGAGTTAACAGACGTGTCACAAAGTAGTCTGGCTGTTTGAAAAATATCACACAAAGAAAGTGGCAACCCACTCGAAACAGTATAATGCTGTATGCTGCCAGGAGCACTTACGGTGTTATATAAGTGATGGATTTGAGACGGGTCCTGGTGGCTCACGCCTGTAATCCTAGCTATTCAGGAGGCAGAGATCAGAAGGATTCCGGTTTGAAGCCAGTCCTTGGCAAATACTTTGCAAGACCCTATCTTGAAAAAACCCAACACAAAAAGGATTGGTGGAGTGGCCTAAGTGGTACAGTGCCTGGCCAACAAGCATGAGGCCCAGAGTTCAAACCCCAGTATCAAAAAAAAAGTGATGGATTTGAGTTGAATAGTTCTCAGATGAGTAGAGCCATCCATAAAATGTGTAGCTCTACAGCTCAGGCCATGTTTGGGGCAGCATGGCAGGCTTATGGGTACAATCCAAGGAAAGGAGGTAGGAAGGGGCAAATAATGGGTTGG